ATTATATTATATTATATTATATTATATTATATTATATTATACTGTATTATACTGTATTATACTGTATTATACTGTATTATATTGTATTATATTGTATTATATTATATTATATTATATTATATTATATTACATTATACTGTACTATATTGTATTATATTATATTATACTGTATTATATTGTATTATATTATATTGTATTGTATTGTATTGTATTCTGTATTATATTATATTATATTATATTATATTATATATAATGTATATTATATTCTTATATAATTAATTATATATTATTATATTTATATTTCTTATTTACTTTTAATTTTACCTCAGTATCGTGATTCTTTTTTTTCCTTTTATTTTACTAGGAAAGTTAAGGAAATTCAGAAAATTATAATTTCATTATAATTATAAGTAGAACAGATCAATCATATTCGTACTTTCTAATCCACACTTTCAATTCAAAGCAGAATCTGTGAATTATCTTTAGCCAAATTTCGACGTTCTACGTTCTACGTTTGAAGAATATTTTAACGAAAAACATCTGTCAGTTAATTCACTTATTTATCTTTAATGAAAATTATTTATTTTCCTCAAGAAGAATTCCTATTGATACATTCTCGCCTACAGATGTAATAATTGACCCATTAATCTTTAAAGACATGTTACTGCGCTATTACAGACGACTATAAGAATTATATCACAAAAGTTTCAGACATTTAATCATTTTTCCTCTGATTCTGACAATAGTCAAATCAAATTCGAAAAAATTGAACGACGCAACGTCAACGTGATTTTTTTAAAGGCTAACGCTGCGTTTCATTTCGAAATTATGTTTCCAAAGCGTGGAATCAATTCATAGAAACCAGTAAGCTTTAGCATTAATAATATTCAGTATTCGTTACAGTGATATACATTCGTGTTAATCGCTTCTCAAAGGATTATATGCACGCGTATTGCATGTACAATACTTTGTTTAACTTCACCGTATATCTGGAGAAAAAGTGATATTATTCATTTACGATGGTGTTCCCAGAATTGCGATATTTTTATCCTGTCTACGTATATTTTTATAAATAAATGCACGTGTTATAAATAACACATTTTGTCAAATTACTTTAGAATACAAATACAATTATCGTCAGTGTTTGTTAAAATATTAAAAATCGAAAAGGAATCACTAATATTATAGTAATTGGCAGAGTGACTTTAACTGTGTCCTCATTGTTGAAATTCCAGAACGATTGATAACATTAAAAATATTTATACAGATTTTGTGAGACGTCAGCTATTTATTAATGATGAATGTAAAACTTGAAAATGCAGAAAATTAACAGTAGAAGAATTTTTGTCGATCGTTTTCATTAAATGTTCAATTATTTATGCACATGATTGCCAGAATTACAGACTCCCATTTTTATATATTTATTGCAATATTTATATTTTATGCAATAATTTAAACATGTCCAATTTTACACGCTTTAAAATTTTCCACATGACGCATGAGAATCTACAGTCTAGTAATTACAACGATAAATCTCAAAAAAAAAAAGAAAGAAACAAAAGAGAAGTTCATACAACGAACTGCATTTCAATCAGTAAGAGAAAAAAATTTGAAGGATGACAATTTTATTCTAGTTGACATTGATATTTCACTCGATATTTTATTTCTTTTTTTTTTTTTTTTTTTTTGTAAAATTGTCGTTTCCCAGTTTTATATTATTTTTTTATTAATTCGCCGTGTTCGCTGCATTTATTCTA